CACATCTGCTTACCAAAGCTGACTGCCGTATCGTTTGCTTTGGCCACATGGCTTGTGTCAGTTGATCCGCCGTATCGCAAGTCCGCGGTCCTGGCTTGAGATAGGATGTGCGACCTGCCTGGCACGCACTCGCTTCGTTTTAAATTTGACATCGAATCGCCCTTGGTTGGCGTGTCGTACTCAAGGGGCATGTGCGGGACGTTCAATGCAATGACGAAGCCTGTTGTTTCTGCTTTTCGCTCAGCGTCGGAGCGCGCATTCTTGGCAAGCTACGATGTATTTTGTGGGTTCTGCAGGGCGGAACCCAGTGTGTCCTGAATGTGCTACATGTCCTGCTATCCGGCATTGTTCGTGCAGGCCATGAAGACTTCGCTGCGTCTCGCCGAATATGAGGACCAGAGGGACCTGCAAGATCGTTCAGAGGATCCCTTGTCCGCAGAATGGTTCCAGGACATCCTCGACACGCAGACCATCTACTCTCTGATAGTCAGGGCCCTGGCTGAAGCTTGAAACTCGTGGGGACGAATACGAGCTTGTCAAGACGGCCCTCGTCCCAGGCGCTCACCACGTACTACAACAAGTACTACATGCAATGCTCAAAGGCATTCATCAAGCTGGAGGCCGGGCAGATGAGAACCCGAGAGCTCGTTGCCCGACCCTCTCTTGAGGCCTCCGGGGACATCAGCGACGAGATGCGCGCCAAGTTCTCGGACCTCGCCCTCAGCATTTTTACCAGGAGCACGCCCAAGGACGCGGCCTTGAGTACACCGTGCTCGTACGACATCCAATGGGAATTTGAAAGTGAAGAAATCCAGCAGGATCCTGCGAATGGGACGCTGTTGCCCTGCCCAAAATGCCACACTCGGATCCCGGACTCGTCAGTTAGCTGTTCGGGCCTGAGGGACTACGCATTTTCTGAGGGTCGCAGTATGTCGCAGTGGCATGCGCTTGCGTGAGTGAGAGTGGGTGCAGTCGTTGGTTCAAAGCAGGTGCGTGAAAGGAGCAATCCAGCAAACCAGCCGTGCAAGCATCAATAAACAGAACGGGCTGTTCCTTGCGAGTAGTTGAACATGAGGCAATCGAGAAAGAAGTTTCCATGCCTCTGTTAGACGGCCATGGGCTCCAGGAAGGTTTCAATCCTGTCCCTGAGTGGGGCAACATTGCTCACGCCCGAGCTGGACTCTGGCAACACAATCCAGGACAGAACAGACATGCTGCGCACAAACAATTCGGTCTGCTTCGGGAAGGTTGAACGCCGTCAACACTGCATTCTGCATTGTGCGTCTCATCAACTTTCTTCTCAGGAGCTTCAGCACCTCATCGAAGCGGCGCTGGATGTGGCACCACGCGCACAGCGGCTGCTCCTCAAAGGCTCGGATCGTTGCCTGTAATGTCGAGGACAATTGTATTGCATGTTGCAAGGAGGCAGAGCTAGGCAGACCAAATTGTCAAGGATTCCGCATGGTGCGTGCAAAGTTCGTAAGAAGGGATTTTGAAGACCTGAAAGACCCCGACACTTCAGGGCAGAAAAGTTTCTCCTTCGCATCCCAACCATAGGGTCCGAGTCTGAGCACTGTCGTAACCAGAGAGACAGTCGAGGCACGATACTTCCCATTCAAGCTACCCTGGAGAGTGCCGCGGTTCAATCTGGAGATGAGCTCACCCTGGTGATCACGAACCCGACCGTCGAGTACTATGTCATGCAAGGTGCCGCCGCAATAACTTAGACCAGTCACTGATGACCGGCTGGAGAACAGCATGCTGACCCCGAAGCAGCCGAGGCGTGCTCTTCAAGGCGACATCACCTCAGTCTGAGCGTACAGCATTTCACACTTGCAGTGCACGAATTCAAGACTTCGTGAATGCTGTTCTCACCTGAGGAAAGGTTCAGAACCAGGTCCCTCGAACGTGACAGCCGGGAGCCAAATGCCGAAGTGGGCATCCTTGGTTTTTTCCCGTGCTCATCCTGCGCTGCAAGTGTCCCAGGTCCGACTGGAAAGAAAGGTTGGGTCGAAAATCAAGACGACCGGGAGAAGTTGGGTCGGACCTGCAGGTGCATTGGTGTCTGTTGGTATTCAGAGATGGCTGCACGAACTGTCAGCCGCTGCTGGCATCACTTGTGAGGCGGTTATTGGGTGGAGCTGGACCCCTGCTTCCAAAAGCCAGGCTGGGTGTAAGGAGCTCAGTTCCCCATTTTGCAGTCGAAGAGAGGATCAGAACCACCTCTGCCATCGCTCGGGACCGAGGCTGGTGGAAGGGCCCGGATTTGGAAAGGCACGGGGACCACAACCACAGAGCCTTTTTTGCGGCTAAGCCTTCTCCCTTCGGAATCGTTGCAGGCAGGACCGCTGCTGGAAGAGAAGCTTCCGGACGAAGGGGACGCCATCGTGATGCACTTCAAGAATCCCTTCGATGTCCGGGTCTCGAAGTGGGAGGGTGCAGGAGTCCCGGATGTCCCGGCATCCTGGTGCTGAAGGATGATGAGCTTCACGAGTTGTGCCTGAAGCCGACCTATACTATTCAAGGCATCAAGCTCCTTGGCCGTGAAGGAGTCAAGTCTTGAGGTGCTGCAGGTCTGTTCTGCCAAGCCGCAAAGAGTCATAGAGTGGATGCAGGATCTGTCAGAGGACATGTCCAGTCCATGTTTGCCTTCATGCTCTCATGCTTGCAGAGTGTCAGTTTGGGTGTGCGAACGCAGGAGCTCCTTTGGCCCAATGGTCTTTTGACTGTAGGCTACGCAGTGCTGTTGATTTCCTAGGAAATCTCACGAGAAGCCATAGGCTCCTGCAAGGCACACCACCGAGGTGTGCGCTACCGGTCTTAGACCCCAGTGACTTCGAGCGACGACGAGAAACCTTGTGCGCTCCCTTTTGTGTTCGGGAAAGTCTACCAGCTGCATCAGAGACCCACCTTTGGAGAGGAGAGCCCTACCAGCTACCGACATTGGTAGCGGAGCTGCGAACCAGAGACTGGTCCAGAGGCTGTGAGACTGTTCCCCCCTTTTTCTGGAAGTGTGGGCCTCCCGCTTTTCCTACCGAGGCCGTGTTCGCGAACAGCTACGCTTTTCCTTGAGAACTTCCATCACGATGGAGCAGGAACATGATGCATCGCTGGCCAAATGTGGCTGGAATGGAGATCCGTCCGGATGGACTGATTTCGTGCGAAGAGTGCGACTCCGATATGAAAAGACACTGCGGAAGAAGAGGAGGCAACTGGGGCCATCGATTGTTTCTCAACTACGAGACCGAGCGTGGACCATAACGCAAGATGTCAATCACCAGAAGTTAACAAGGAGGGATGGCTGTGTTTATCTCCTCGAATTCCTCCGCGAAAGATTGGGCCGTAGCCCAATCCCAAATAGGCATTCGCCTAGAGGAGTTAATGATAAAACTCCGACGATCTGCAGGAACGCCGATGTCGTCTTGGGCATCGCAGGTTCGCCAGACTTACAAGAGGGTGCAGGTCGCGCTCCACCGCGCCCGGAAGGAACAGGGCACTTTGTCGTCTTCGCAGGCGATCCAAGAGGATCCTTTGTTTCCTAGGTCTCCTACGACTTCATCGCCTACAAGCTCGGGAAAGAAAGGTCGTTCTTCTCCGACGCGCCGCTCTAGTGTTGCAACGCAGGACACCCAAGAGGAACCCCAGGCCGAGGACCACGAAGAGGCCCGAGATTCTCCCGAGCACCCCGCCTTTATGCCTGAGGAAGATGAGGACCTCGACCCAGGTGTGGATGCAAAGTCGAGCTGGCGGCGCCGAAAGGACAAGACAAAGGACGACGATGAAGACGAGAGCGACGACAGCGCCCAGATGCTGGCAGACCTTGAAGTATGGGATCGCTACGAAGAGGGCTTGCAAGAAGTCCTCCCACCGGAGGTGCTGGGTTGGCTCCTCCTTAGGCGTGCAAACTTGCCAACGAGTGCTAGACTCTCGGTTCAGGCGGCCGCTGGGAATTCTTTGCTCTTCACCGACATCGAGCGAGCAATGAGAGCCATGGAGGATGAGCTGATGGTTCACGATGACTCGCGGAGGCCTCAACATCCCAAGCGCCGATCCTTCTGGGTGGAAGAAGAAGGCGAATGGAGTCTTCTCATGACGCCAGAAGAGGATTTGCAGGATTTGGTTTCAGCTTCGGAGCTTTTGTATGTCGGGACGAGATTACCCTCCGAGGTCTACTTTCATCACGATCCGGAGCCCTTCGCAGGCTCCCAGGACACAGGGTTTTGGCACCAGGATGATGACGGCGCCTTTTCCTACTGGGAGCTGGCCGAGGACGGGGAGTACTACACCCAGGACCCGTCCGGACTTTTCTGGGCTTGGCATGATTGGGATGAGTTTGGAGCCACTTCAGCAGCCGGAAGCTCCGAAGGCCCTAAAGACACCGAAGAGGCCTTCGCCCTGGGTGACCCAAAGTCCCGAACCTTCACTCAGGCCCGGCAGGCTGTTCGTGCCAAGCAGCTTTCACGAGGTTTCTACCCGTTCTTTCCGGCACTTAAGGGCAAATCCCGTGCCAAGGGCAAGGGCAAGGGCAAGGCAAAGGGCAAAGGCTTCGTGAGTCGGCAGCCTTCTGCCCCCGTGCTTGCAGCGACCGGCGAGATCTACGCCCAACCAGGTGACCCATCCTTCACCGGATGTTTTGTGTGTGGGGCCAAGGACCACTCCTGGAGGTCGTGCCCCAAGCGTTCGAGTTCCGGCAAAGGAGGTGGCAAAGGAAAAGGGGCTCGGAGCTTCTTTTCGGAAAGCATCTTCATGATCCAGGCTGAGGATGGAGACCTTTGCTCCCAGGACGATGTGCTAAGGAATGACCCTGGGCAGTCGCTCCATCTGATCGAGGGTGACTTTAAAGGAAGCCCTGACCTCTCTGCTCCTCCAAGGACCCGCTGTCATGATTATCGGTGGGATGGTCCGTTGAGTCCTCGTTTGCAGGATGGGATGATTCATGCCATTCCCAATGACTTCAACATGTCTTCAGCTTTGGTGGTGACCTCGCAAAACATAGGGGATGCCTTTGCTTCTGGTAGTGGGGATTCCCACCCCCGAGGGTGCGTGGTCATTGACTCAGGAGCTACAGAAACCGTTGGTTCGCTTCCTGCGATTGAGGACCTGATGAGAGTTAGGTACGAGGTGAGTGGCAATCCAGATACCTTCAAGATTTCCGACACGCCGCCCAGGAGATTTCGCTTTGGCAATGGCTCCGTTGGTTTTTCTCTGTCCCATGTCTTGATACCACAAGATCTAGGCAGCAGCCGCGTTGACCTGGGAGTGTATTTGCTAGACGTTGAGAAAGTGCCCGTTTTGATTGGCATCCGCACTCTCAGGGCACTCAGAACAGTTCTGGACTGCCATCAGGACACGGCAGTGTTTGCAGCGTTAGATGTGACCATCGGAGTGAAGCTTCAACGAAGTGCATCGGGGCACCTTTTGTTGGATTTGAGCCGTGACTGGCTTCAGGATTCTTTCTCCATCCTGGACCCGACTGCAGGGGTTCTCGCCGTGACCTGTGAACCATGTGATCAAGGGTCAAAAGAAGATGCCGTGTTCGTTGTTGAGCCTGAGCAAGTGAACTTTCAGCCTGAGACTTCCAGTCAGATGTCCTCTGCCCCTTCGGAAGCAGCACAACTTCCCGCAGTTCTTTTCCACTCTCGAGGCGCAGTGGACAGCACGCCATATCCCGGGGACCCCACGGATTCCACCTCAGATCCCTTCTGGGTACTACGAGCTCTTTTGTCCGCACATGGCCGAGACTCCCGCCAAGGACCTCAACTCGAGAACTTCAGAGTCTACCGAGAAAGCGATTGCCCTGGCGAAGGCAGCCCTCAAGAAGACGGAGACTCCGAAGTCCAAGGCCAAGGCCAAGAGCTCGAAGCCCCGGGAGCCAGCTCCGGAACTCG